CCCCAAAACCCCAAAACCCCAAAACCCCAAAACCCCTGGATTACTAGTGGCAATTGAATAATATTAATCTCTCTTTTGTTTCATTCTCATCTTAGCAATAGCCTTGTTTCTGTCTTGGAGCTTGCCAAAGATCTGTTTCAAAACTGATAGGATGATGAAGGAGATAGCGACCATTAGAATAGTGTTGTTTTTGTTCTTTCATAAATTTTCTATAGTTCCAATCTGATGGTCTTCAGGAACATTGGAGTAATCAATGTCATCGTATTTTCCACAAATAAATCTGTTACCAAAGTAAACGATTACGAGGAGGACAAAGAAGACTTTGTGAATTGAAGATACTGAAAGCAGGTCTAATAATTTTATAGAGGTCACTGATTTCAGTGCTGATCCAATTGCAGAATCATGTCCTCTATTTACTCTATATACAACTATATGGAACTGTTGCTTGGCCATTTTTGGAGGAAGCAGGAAGTCAACAGTGTATTCTCTGTAAATTACATTAAATATTCCTGCTTTCTGGTCTTCAATACTTTGGTTATAATAATGCTCTACTGAGGTATTAATATGGAAAACCTCAGCTCCTGGATTAAATGGATCAGAGACAATGAAATGCCATCCATATTCTCTAGTCTTGCTATCATCCATTTCAGCGAGAATCTTTGTTACTTGTCCAGATATCATCTGAGGTAGCTCTCACAAATCAAGTTGAGCTGTTGATCCATTATTCTTTAACTCAGTGAACTCATTTAATCAATGTGATAGATTCTTTGCGATAACTTCTTCAATCTGGCATTCTTTCACATCTAGGATAGATATGTCTGTGTAGTTAGGATCGTCTACCTTTCCTTTATTCTCCTCGTTCTTCACAGAGATTGGTGTGCATGCCTTCACTTTAATCTCATATTTATCGTCTTCTTCATTATGAGCAGTATGTGAGTGCCTCAAGCTTGGAAGTGCTAGATATATTTAATCCTAAAACTTACTGATGTTGGGAGATTCATAAAACATCATTATATAATCACATGGAAGAATAAACCTCATCAATGTATTCTTTTTGTACTTCAATGAAATGTTAAAGTCTTTCCCAACGATTACCATTGAGTTGTGATATCCTGCTTTATGAAGCTGCTTTTGAACGAAGGAGCACAAGAAAGATCTAGCTTCCTTTTTATTCAATACTTTCTTTTTATTAACCACTGTTCGACTGATCTTATTTTCCTCAGGTAAGAATTTAAAAGCTGTCTCTTGTACAGCATGCTCAGCGATCCTGTAGAGCAAAAGTTTTGCCTGCTGGTCTTCAATATCACTCTTAGCCAAATCTATCATTCCTGGCATTTTAATTGTAGTGTTTAGAATTAAAAATATTTCAATTGTATAGCATTGAAGTGGGGTTTTGGGGTTTTGGGGTTTTGGGGTTTTGGGGTTTTGGGGTTTTGGGGTTTTGGGG